TTTGCTCAGGAAGGATGGCTCCAGAGCAAACTAATTTATGCAGTAGCCCAATCGCTCACTCACAACTTTAATGCCAGTAGCTCACAAAGTAGATTTTTTGCTCACAAGACTCCACAGCTTAGAGGGAGCATTGATTGGCATCTTATTGTTTCACACAGGAAACACTCAACGCATCTAGGGACATAGTCGCTCATGAAAACAAAAACAAGGATCTTCACTTCAGTACAAAGGAATGCTGGATACTCAGGTTGTGGAAAACTCCATTTTGTTCATAAGAGCAAACCAAAGTCCTATGAGACCCTCACACACAAGCTCCAAGACTTTCTAAGTCATTTTCATTCATTCACAACATGCACAGCCCCAGTGCCCCTCTGGATCCGCATCAGCAGCTATCGGTGGTCTTAGTGGCTTGGTTCTTGTATCATGGTGTTTAAAACCACAGCACTGAATTAATAAAGGTCAAATGGAGACAGTGCTCTGTCCTATTCAAGAGGAAAGATAAAGGGATAGTGGAAAATCCCCCTCCCCCCCCCCAGTTGCAAGTTACCAGCAGCCTATTTGATAGCAAGTGTGAACTGCTGAGGTGACACTTTCCAAGAGCTTGTGTTTCTGGGTTCAATTCAAAGCGCTGGTTTTTACCTTTCAGTCCTTCACCAACTGGTGCCCATATGTCTGAAGGATCACTTCTGCCTATATGAAAGCAGGCAGCAGCCTCCTTTCTCTGGAGAGTTCCTACTCATGGTTTCCCCTCCCCTTTTACCATGGTGCGTTTGGCCATGGCTCACCTGTGAGCTTTCTCAGAGGCAGTCTCAGTCTCCATACTATGGAACAGTCTCACGGAAGAAGTAAAGAAAGCTTTTAACTTGCTGAAAGTCTGGAGAGACTGAGCTTTTGGAGGTCCTCTGAGAGGGCTTTTTGTAAAATATGACTACAACCAGTGTAGTGGTTAAGAGGGGCAGACTCTAATCTGGAGACCTGGGTTTGATTCCCCACTCCTCCACATGGAGCCTGCTGGATGACCTTGGGCCAGTGACATTTCTCTCAGAACTCTCTCAGCCCCACCTACCTCACAAGGTGCCTGTTGTGGAGAGAGGAAGGAAAGAAGATTGTAAGCCACTCTGAGACTCCTTAAAGTAGAGACAAGTGGGGTATCAAAACATACTCTTCTACTTTAATGGGGGGAGGGGCAGAAAAATACTGTTTATGTGAAGACAGCCTTTGACATCAAGTTTGAAACAAATTTTCTAGCCATACAGTGTTTTTAATTCAAGCAGAAGATGAAAAGTTCTTCCTCATACTAGGAAGAGATTGTCCTTAATTTAGCCTCAATATGCAGAAATGTATGACAGACTGGAATTCGGGCTGTGCTGCACTACGCAGCAGATGTTTTAAGAAGCCATCTTAGTGTTCCATTCAATTCAATTCAAGTATTAAACCTTCTTCCATCAACAACCAGGTTCAGTTAGTTGATGTGTTCTTAAGAAAAACACCCAGACAATAGTTTAAAAAATGAAGAAGAGCATACAGTTAATAATGTTTTCACCTGGAAACAAAGCTATGCCTACATGATGCGAATCAGATGGTTGGGTTCAGAGACATGCTCTGTATGCTATCCAGACTACTGAAACAATAGTCGTTCAGACATAACTTAAGACCTTAGAGAATCATGAAGTTAATTAATCGAACAAAAAAACAGATTTAATAAACCACAGTTTACCAAACCAAAGAAGAGATTCAACCAACCATGGCTTATCATTATAGCCAAATCACCCAACAATGGCCTGCATCTGCAGGAATTAATCTTTTCCCCATAAGCCTGCCTTGGCGGGGAGGGCGGGGTATAAATTGAATAAAATACATAAATAAGTATAGAGTATGTTACATACCCAGCTATTCCAAGGGCAACAGATGATGTTCTTGAAAAGGATGCTTTATCAAAATGGATCAAGCTTTATAGGAGACCCACTGAGCACTTGTATGTCACATTATGCACGGGATTGCAGAGTACTGTACATTTATTTGGTACTGTTTATGATTACTTATTATGATGTATTTTAGGCAGTAGGTGGAGTATGCAATAACAAGCCACATCACGCTTTAGTTCTTTGCACTTTGATGTGTTTTTATTTGATTGAGACTAGTCTTTTCTTGTTTTCCTCAGGTAGCATTTAGCGAAGCTCCCTGACATCTAAATACGGTTTTCTCTCATGCACAATCAAATCACACGGACAAAATGATAAAGACTTGCCAAGTGAACAAATTCATCTACTCTACAACACTAAGACACTGACGCTTGTATCCTAGTTCTACAATATCAGAATTTATACGTCAATCAGTTCACAGAATGGGGAGTGCAGAGTGCGTGGGTGTGTTTTATTTGTGGCGTATCTGCTTTGTAAGCCTTTTGTACACAGTTCAAAGGCATTCTCTGCTTTGACAGAGAAAACAGACCGCGCATGGGGTAATCTCAAAGGTATCTTGTGAGTTACTGGAAAACACAACGGATGGCAAACATATGACAGTTTTCACAACTGTAATTATGTCATTTTATATTCTTGTATCCTTTTTTATTTTAAAGTAACACATTTTCTCTTCAATCAAACGTCTTAAAAGTTCTAAAGAAATAATAAATGCATTCTGATAGAAGGATGAACTGATTCTGGAAGCTTCGAGCCCAGGAGGAAGAAAAAGTGGGGAAACCAACTGCACTTGACAGAACAATCAAGTATACACTTCACTTTATTCAGTTCCCTGTGATATGATTCAATTGCATAACCTCACTTCTTTTGCAGCTAATTACTTATTCCGTAATCCAGGATTGTTTTCTGACCAACACTCTAGGGACTCAAACTGGAAAAAAAGAAAGTTGGAATCTGTGAGAGACAGAGAGATCAAGAGCTTGCAGAAGGGCCTCAACTCTTCCCAAACTGCTGAAGGTAACAGAGACAAACAGAACCTGAACATCCATTAGATAGATTGAACGGTCACTTCTACCACACTGAGGCAATATAGTCCTAACATGGGATCTGAACTATGGCTTTCAAGCAGTCCCTTTTTAAATTAGCTGTTTATGCGCCCTTTTTATATCAGTATAAAAGCCAACATCTATTTTAAAAGCTGTTTTAAAAAAAATCTTAAACCATCTTCTTTTCATAGCTGCAGAACTTAACGACGACTGGCACTAAGATGCAGTTTTTCATAAACTCTAGTTTACAACCCTCTGTTACCCCAGTGGAAAAAGATGTTGGATATTAAGGTTACTTTTAATCCTTGCGTAGACCCTATCTTTCCTGTTTGAAACTGACTACTCCTGCAAATGCGTGATTTTTACATGACTTATGTGAACTAAAGTCTGCATCTCACATGCCAGAGAGAAAATGTTTAATATAGCTAAGCAACTCCATGTGTCAGTGCACCAGAAGAGACTGCTTTAAGCCCAAGTCAGTGCCAAGACAAACTCGGCAATTGTTTCAGTTTAAAACCATGAAGCATTTATTTTCCTAATGCAGCCTCACGTGCACAAGAAAACAAGAAGTAGTTCACATACAAACCGCTCCAATACCTAACGATTTACCAAAATGTATTATAACATCTTCAGCACAGAAGACTGAACCAACCAGTGTCAAAGGAAAGGCATTATGCTTCACACTGACTGTTTAAAAACCACATGAAATTCAAACAATCCACTGTTCTAATATTTCAGGACAGAATGCTACTTTTTTCAGTATTCATGTCTGGTGTATTTAGTACATTTGAAGCACAAGGAATTGTTATAGTTACAACTCTAGGAGTTAAATTCATGACAAGAAGCCTAAAAGTACAAAGAGGGGAGAGAAGCTTGAACTGTAATGCCCTGGAGATGTTTCCAGAAAGCCCAGTTTTTGTTTAAGTGTTGCTGGTTACATTTTGGAGTCTGTGCATGGCTACCGAATAGTGACAAACACATAATGAAGAAAAGTGATGTCACATAGTCCAGCATGTGAAAAAGAGAATGCAGATCTTCATGCTATTCAAAATGTTCCAAAGAAATTGATCCTATGAAATATATTCCTCTAAACCATTTGATTTCCCCCCCCCCAGTATTCATATCAAGCATACATGGAGAAGAGCTTTGTTTTTTAGTTGAAATTATCACGTCTGGTTCATGCTGACTTGTTTTAAAAAGGATGCGTTTACTTTCTGATGAAAAAAAATTATCCACCCTCAAACTCTCCTGAAACTAATTTGCATAACACAAATCCCATTAGCAAAATTCTAATTAACTGTGTCTTAGAGTTACAGCTCTCGAAGATCAGGAAAACTTTAGTATACTAAAGCAACATAAGGAAAAGCGAGTCCTTTTTCTTCAGTCACTTATGCCTAAATAAACTTTGTAATCAGCATCTGAAACAACAGTTAGTCCAATAAAATGTATTATATAGCTTGCTATTATCCTAAGGCAATACAGCAATTAAGACTGACTTTCAACCTGAGTAATCTAGTTTCTACGCTGAATGTTGTTGGGAAAGATTGTGCCATGTTAGAAAGTGGATGCAATGAGCACTGAGAACATGTTCTAGAAAATCACCACTGAACTGCCTTTTGAAATGTGTCTGCCTCATGGGTAATTGTGTCCTTTCAAAATATATTAAATTAAAAGGAAGGTTTCTGGAAGCTAGATTTTCATTTCTCTGTAGTTGGGTTGATTAAGGTACAATTTTATTCCTGCTGACAGGCAAAAGTAGCTCAAAATTATGGACTAGCCATAGTAACAGTTTATATTATGCCGCTGAGTTCTTTTGATTTGCCTTCTAGAGGCTACTAATATTTACTGGTATCTAAACTAAGCACCCAAAGGGAAACAGTTTTAGCACTATATAGTGACTATGTGATGTAAACTCAATAAACTTTCAGAAATTAATTTAATTCTGAATTTTAACCAAAGACTCTTGTAAGGGGGTGGGGTGGGTGCTTTTAAAGCAATTATCACAAAATTATCATTATTTTCCCAATTGACTTACAGTATTAGTTGAATCCTCTTGTAAAATCCTGTCGTATAACTGGATTGCATCATCATACCTGTTGTGAGGTGCAAAGAAGAAATATTTGCAGGTGAATCATACAGAGCTCTAGCAATTCCATTTTCTCACCCCAATCCAGCAAACAGGCACACATATAGCTTTTGGAAATCTGGAGAAACATCTGGATGAACATCCAGTTCTGCTGAACTGGCTAGACAGGAAGGCTGGTGAATTTAGACGAGCAGGGTACTTGCACACCAACCAAGAATGGATGGAGAACTGTGCTCAACATAATCCACTTTGTCGTCTGTTCAGCACTGTAACAATTAGAACTGCTATTATGCTGTTAGACCACTGATCCACCTTGGCCAACCTACATCACATGATTTGCGGCAATCTGCTCCCTGAAATCCTTTAGTTGGAGATACCAAGGATTTAAGCTGGAACTAGGGTTGCCAGGTCTGGGTTGGAAAATATCTGGAGACTTTGGGGGTGGATCCAGGAGAGGGCGGAGTTTGGAGAGGGGAGAGTCCTCGGCATGGTACAATGCCATAGAGTCCACCTTTCAAAGCAGCCATTTTCTCCAGGGGAGCTTATCTCTGTCAGCTTGAGATCACTTGTAAAAGCGGGAGATCCCCAGGCCCCACCTGGAGGCTGGCAACCCTAGCTGGAACTTTATATATGCAAGTCACACAGTCTGCCATTGAAATATGGCCCCTTTTTATCACCAGCATCAGGGACTAATTTCATATTATCCCTCTTCCTTGTGTAGCAATTGTGACCTGGATGGGCCAGGCTAGTCCAATCTTGTCAGATACTGAAGGTTAAGCAGGGTCAACTCTGGTTAGTATTTGGGTGGGAGACCACCAAGGAAGACCGGGGTTGCTATGCAGAGGCAGACAATGGCAAACCACCACATAATGTCTCTGGCCTTGAAACCCCTATGGGGAAAACCATAAGCTGGCAGTGACTTGACAGCAAAAGAAAAATCCATTCAAGAAACAGCCTTGTCTCAAACCTCAGTGCCACTGGAATCAATCTTTGTTCTGTTGCTTTAGACCAACATGGCTACCCACCTGAACCTGCACAGAATTTATTCCCTTTTGCATCAGTTCTGACGTACGGGAGAAGTTAGTTTTTAAAGCTGTGCCATGAAAAGATTTTATTTTTTAAGAATTCAGTTACCTCTCCATGGCTTCAAATCGCATGCCGGTTAAACGCTTAACTCGATGGCTCCCAGGGAATTGCCGTCTTAGCTCTTGAAGACAGAACTATTATTTAAAAAATAAAAGAAAATCAGATACAGAAAAAGGAGGTAGGAAATACAATATTCTCTTAAACTGGACACCAATATTTGAGTGATGTTTATTTGTTTACAATACTTGAGAGGTTCTTCCAGCAGCAGCCTTTAAAGCTAAATTGTCAAATCAACACTCTTGTAGTGGTGTTTTAAGAGATACCAAGACACACAGACAGAACCCAGCTTTTACTGTCATCAGCAAAAAAGTAAGCCCAGACCAACCTTATGATTTATGAACAGGAACTTTTTTTTTAGTTTAAGTGGCACAATGTAACAAGCACTCATGTGGTCAGAACTCCAAGAAAAATGGAGCAAAACTCCATTCGCAAACTAAATCTGCCACCAGCTGTCTATGTGATAAGTCAACAAAAGGTATTAAAGGCAAATTCAGAACATTTTAGACAAGAGAAGTAATTCCATGGTGAACAGAGGTCATAGATTTTTGGAAACATCATTAGCAGTAGGAAAATGTAAGAACCTGCAAAAACAGCAGGATCTGAAGAGGAAATCAAAGGGATAAGTCGCAACAGGGCATTTTATAGTCAGAAAGCAAGCATGGAAGAATAGTTGAAGTTGCTGAGGGACCAGAAGACTTCAGACTGAAGGAAAGTTCTAGAACTGCTAAAACACTGAACAAAAAGCATTGTGAGAAAAGAAAAGTAACAGGATTGGGTAAAACCATGAACAATCTTTGAAGGATATAGGAACGCTGGCAAAAAACCAGCAACATGAGCATAGGACAACTGCTTAAGCTGGTGGTGTTCTAGAAATCTATCTCCTGAATTGCAACTCTAGAACAATTAAAAAAGAGAAATATGGAATTCAATAAGAGGAGGTAGTCAGGTCCACGCCAGCCAATTTGGCTCCCACCAAAGAGAGGCGGAGGTAGAGTTTGGATGTAGAGGACCCCAACAAGGATGTAGTGTGGAAACAACCTGAGACCCTGGAGAGCAGCTTCCACTCTGAGTAGACAATACTGATTTTGACAGACCAAGGGTCTCGTTCAGTACAAGGCAGCTTCGCACGTGTTCACATGTGACAGAAATACTAGGGTAACACACCCTCTTTGGTTTCCAGATTGATTTGAAGAATCCATTGATCTCTATCTAAGCTGTTTGTTGAGCTGGAACTCCCCTACCCCAGCAGCAGAAGAGGGGCGGCCACAATACTGCAAGTAGGGCCAGCCACAAGCAGTGGCATAGGCCGGAAAAATGGCAGAGCAAGGGCACTGCTGTGCAGTACAGATGCTATGCCTATGAGCAGCGCTCTGTTCTTCAGCGCTTGCCCAGTGATCCTGTTTTGAATTCAGGCTCCTGTCCTTCCCCCTCTCATCTTTCCAGAAGCCATCAACAGCTTCAACTGCCATATCTTCTTTATCACAATGTACACACACCAGCTCAGCCTTATCATGAAACACACACCAGGTATTCCAGACAGGCTACTGATTATTAGGAAATCTGGCCCTCCTGACTAATTAACTCAGCAACACACTGAAGTAGAATCTTAACATGATCAGCTATTGGATAAATCCAACACCACTATTCTGTACAGAGGCAAAGGGTTCAGACACTGGATGGGATCCACTGGTGATTTCTGTCCACAGAGAGTGATCTCCTTGCCCAAATGCTGCTCCTGGGGTACAGATACGTCCTAGGCAGAGGAATCAAGCAAAAACTGTCCCCACCTTTCTGACTGCAGATATCCCCCACCAGACCCAAGCAATTGGCTGTAGCATGGTGGCAACACAGGGATAAAAACTGGTCTACCTTACAAGACTATTGTAAAAGAGAGTACGTGAAATCATTTGACTGCTGAAAGTGCTAAACACATCCCTAGTATTATAATTATTCATCAAAAAGGGCATGAGCTGGAGTCTCAGCAGTAGGAATGAAGATGAAAATCACATCATGGAAAACAAGTCCATTCTTCCCATTAATATCCTTTTTTTTTTCCTTTTTAAAACTTCACTACTGCAAAATGCAGGCTTCAAAGATTTTCTTGGAGGGGGTTGCAAACCCCTGCATGAATGGTGTTCCATTAAGGTAGCCTAGAACTCTAACACTTTCCAGACTGTTTTTTCCTCTTCTGTTCTGTCCTATAAAGAAAGCAGGCGGGGAGGGGGAAACACTCAGAGAGGAAATTAATAATACTTAAAACATTAAAAGAAAACTGTGAAAAGGGTCTTATTTGAACCAAAGTAAAGCAAAGAAAATGCAGACTCAAGCATCTCACACAGAGGTATTGCAGGTGGCTGCCGAAAGCAGGTGATCTCACCTAAAGCCATGTGGTGGGGACATTTGCAGGATGGAGGACAACAAGGTTAAGAGCAGCTAATTACAATCAAGGTGGAACAGTCCTAAAAGACTTTAAAAAGTCCAGGTGAACAGCTGAAAGTGTACATCTCCCAAGACACTTCATCTAGAATGGTGGGCACCCACTTCCTTAAAAGGGGGACCTCTTGCTCGTTCAGCTTTCTACATCCAGAAGGTAACAGGGCAAACCCCGTTTTGAGATCTGGTGCCTGCAGCTGCAGGGAAAAGGCCAGTCTGAATGATGGCTCCGTTGAATGACCTTCAACAAACGGTTCAGACCAATAAAAGTAAAGAAGTTTTCATTTAAAGCCCTCTCTGAGCAAAGACTGCTACATTCATTGAATCATGCTGTGCTTCTTATAGGACACTTTGGGGCCAGAAGTTCAAACTTACTATGATCATTAGCATTTAAAAACACACACACACATTTGACTGCTCTGATCCTTTCAGGAAACTCACAAGTGTATTTAAGAAGAAATTCTTCAGATATCTTTTTATTTTTACAAAGTTAACATAGGAAGAGAACCTAAAAAGAGCCCTGCTGGATCAGACCAATAGTCCATCTAGTCCAGCATCCTGCCTCACATGTGTGATCACATTTTTTGTTTTGTACAAGAAAACTTTGAAATGACTTATTTTCTCCTATTGTGCTGTTTTGGCAAAATTGTCAGCAGTTGTACAATACAGCATTTGTGCTTGAAAGCTTCATGGGTGCCCTTCTGAAGTTACAGGAAGTGAAAGGCAGGTTTCCAAAATACCCAGAAGCAGTAATTGCTTTACGACAGCACCTGTTCAGTGAATCCTACTAGCACAACCCACAATCCCATCAGTGTTTAGATCGAATGCTTCACAGCTTCAGATCGGAAACAGTGACTTATTGCATGGATCACCTGAGCACAGACACACACTTCTGTTCAACCAGCTGCCCATTTCAGTGGCTTGCAGAGGGTTTAAAAGGCAAGCGGAGACACAAGGAACAAGTCATAAGAAGAATATAAGAGGAGACCTGCTGGACCAGTGGTCCATCTAGTCCAGCATAATGTCTCTCACACACTGGCAAACCAGTTACTACAGCCTCTATGCCACAGGGCATCGAGGCCAAGGTCTTTCCCCTGATGCTGCCTCCTGGCACAGGTATTCAAAGGTTTATAGCTCCCCTTTAGTCACCTGTCCTCCATGTCATTCTCAGATTCTTTCTTCTACACTGGTTTATGATACCCTAATATGTCTAAGTAATCTGCTTGGCCATGGTTATGCTGCACAGGACTTGGGGTGCTAACCAGAAACCAACAGCAGTGTCATTGGATGTCAGAGAATCAAAATTTCTACTAAGAAAAGCAGGAAGGGCTTAACTTGCCTTTAAGGACCATCAAACAAAATAGAAAACAAAATAGAAAAACACAACCTACAAACAGTATTCAGACCCACCAGAAAAATACAACAGATGCTACAATCGGCAAAAGACAGACGAGACCCCCTCACTTCTGCAGGAGTATACCACACACCCTGCAGTTGTGGACAGGTTTACATCGGGACCACACAGCATAGCATTCAGACAAGAATAAAAGAACATGAAAGACACTGCAGACTGGGCCAACCTGAAAAATCAGCAGTGGCTGGACGTAGCCTAACTCAAACAGGACTTTTCCAAGACACTGAAAGGCTAGACAACACATCCAATTACCATGTCATATTACACAGGGAAGCCACTGAAATTCATAAACATAAACACTATTTGAACAGAAAAGAAGAGAGTTTAAAAATAAATAGGGCATGATTTCCTGTCCTGAAAAACACAAAATATTCTACATCTTACAATAGCACTACAGATAAGATTAGAATTTCAACAGCCAATCCATATGCAAAAGAACCTCATTAGAATTTCAACAGCCAATCCATATGCAAAAGAACCTTCTCAGGAAAGCTCCATTAGCATGTCACAGCCTGGGGAACTCCTACAAGATAATGATTCAGCCCTACTACACCTTCCTGAGTAGATATAAATTACCTGCCAACCATTTGTCTACCTTGACACAGAGCGTACTCCATCTTTCTGTGTTATACCTCTGAGGATAACAAAAAGTAAGGGAAGGGGGAAGGGAAAAAAAAGGGGGGGGGGAACTCAACCCAAAAAGTTGCTATGGATCCACAAGGGTTAAGCTGACACTAAATATTATGAAAATACAAAATTTATTCAGGTGTACACATTTTAAAACTTAGATTCATTAAAAATATACCATTCAGACATAAAAAACTTTTCAACATTCATACATAGATGGGTTAGTGCTGTGCAACTGAACCAAACGCGTTTCGGCCCCTCAAAGGGCCTTCCTCAGTGGTCACAATTCCAATTACAAATTTGACATACATTCAAAAAAGTTTTTTACATAAGATGTTAAATACATATACAGTGTAAGGCCAGATGTTGTTTCCTAAATACTTCTGTATTTGTTTATTATTATTCTATAAGATGGGCCTCCAGTCTAGCCAATTAAAGTCCACCAATAATTCTGGTAGCACAAACTTGTGTGAGTTGAATGTATGTCACTCCATCCTGTACAAATTCTGGTATAAGCTCCTATACTGGCCACCATATATAGCATTACTGGGGTGATGCAATCACCAATTACTGTACATGTCAATCAGGAGAGATGCAACATAGAAGGAGGGGCAGGATGGAGTGACATACATACCTCTGAGGATGCCAGTCACAGCTGCTGGCGAAACGTCAGGTCCTACAATGCCAAGACCACAGCCATACAGCCCAGAAAAGCTACATGAACTAATAATAAAATAGAAGTTTCTAAACCTAGGTTTGCCAGCCATGGGTTGGGAAATACCTAGAGATTTTGTGGGTGCAGCCTGGGGAAGGAAGGATTTGGGGAGCGGACAGACCTAAGCAGTGTATGATGCCACCAAAGCCACCCTCCAAAGCAGCCATTTTCTGCAGGGAAACTGATCTTGGTAATCTGGAGATCAACTGTATCAGTAGGAGATCTCCAGTTGCCGCCTGGAGGCTGGCAACCCTGTTCTAGACCTCATCATCTATTTTACTGCCCACATACCCCCAGTCATCATCCTCCCCACTTGAATGTGGAAAAGTAATTTGAACAAATAAATGCAGTTTCCAAAAGTGTGCACAAGAAAGTTTGTTATGCGCTATTAAATCCAAGCACACACAAAATGTGCGATTTCGTGCAACTTTCCCAACTTAGCAAAGTTTAAGCCATATGACTCTTATTCTACCTATATGAACTTAATCGAAACAATTTTTAAATGCTTTTTACAAAAAAGGGGATATCAAAATTTATGAACTCAGAATTGTAATGGCTGACTAGTGTTAGCTAAGCAACCAGAGAATAAGTATAATTCAGTATCCGGCCTCTAATGAGACAGATTGCTTTTGAAGCCAAGATTTGTATTAAAGAATTTCAAATATACTTGGAAAAGTTCACTTATTTTAGTCAACTACTATCTTAAAAAAAAGACATTCTTTACTATAATCTCAGGTCAATGTGAAATCAATTTACAAATGACATAAGCACTAGCTCACTTAAAATACAGTACTGTGAGGAAAGGTTTCTGCAGAAGATAAAAATGATCTGGATAAAATGATGTACTAGCAAAAGAAAGGTGTTTCCCCCCCCCCCCATTTTTATATTGCAGAAATCTCATCTGCCTGCTCTACATTCAACTGATACATGGTCACTGCACTCTTTTGGCTGTGTGATGCTGGCACAATCTCTTGAACAAACAGGAACGTTAACTGCATGTCACCTTCTGCTAAGTCAGTTAATACCTCAAAGAACAGAATGAGATATCATAATATGGAAGTAGTCCAAATATTGTGATCATGATTCAGAGAGTCAGTCGACCAAACTATTTTCTGGTTTGAGAATCCTTGGGAATCCAGCAGCTTAGATTTATAAAAAGTATTTTAAAATGTGATGCACAAGATTCTTCTGCACTAGCTCTCTTAACGGGAAATTTTGTATAATCCCAACAGTTGCATGGTCTTTAACTAAAAGAGATTCATTGGGAAAGGGGGGATCCCTTTCTATAATTTGTATCTTCCCTCTTTTGAAGAAAACGGATATGGTTTTGATACAGATCTTTCCAAAGCAACTATGCAACAAAGTCCTCTCTGATAGTAACCTCCAAAGGAAAATTGATGCTCACTAAAAAGATTTTAGATGAACTGTTTCTTTTGCATATGGCAACTGTAACATTCTTTTGGCCCTCAGTTTGTACCCAATTAGCTGTAAATATTTTTACAACTGCTGAAAGACCCAAAAAAATTGTGAAGAAAGCCTGAATACAGGCACAGATCCTATAAGCCTCGGGGTCTTTCCAAACAATAAAAAGCCAGACTTCTCCCCCCTGCTTACACTCAATTCAAAATAGCCCTGCAATATCCCATACCTGAGTAATGGAAGGTAGCCTGGCTGTGATGTGGAAATGTGTGTACTTGTGATTGCTGCTTAAAAAAACAACAAAACAAAAACCACAGGGAGAATGCACTCTTTAGCACCGGAGCTTTTAAAACAGCTTTCTAAGAACCATATATTAAAAGCCAAAGGATTCAGCAAAACATTTAGGAGCAAATGATTTAAGAAACAACAGGGGGAAACTAGTGGGATGTGTAAGCCGTACACTGCGTAAAGACAATGACACTTTTTTAAAAGGAGAAAAGAGCAAGAGTCCAGTAGCACCTTAAAAACTAACAAACTTTGCAGCAGGGTATGAGCATTTGTGAGTCACCGCTTACTTCTTCATACCTTGCCACAATTTTTGATAGTCTTTAAGGTGCTACTGGACTCTTGCTCTTTTCTACTGCTACAGACAGACTAACATGGCTAAATATCTTGATCTATCTCCGTGGAGGGCACCACTTTTTAAAAAGTGCACAAAAAGGTGGGGGAGGGGCAAGGAAAGGGAGCTGCATTGCTCATGGCCCTGAAACTTGCAAAACTACATGCCGCACAGTGCCCACAAGTATGAAAGACACGGAAAGCAGGTGGGAAGAGAAAAAGTGTATTGTTCTGCAATCAGTTATTGCAGTGTGAATGCAGGGAGAATATACCTGCAACAGAAGCACTACTTTAAAAAGACATCTATAGCTCATTGCTGAGAGATAAAAGGTCAATCAGAAAACTGAAATGCATTACCAAAACTATATCTCGTAACCTTCAACAACATATACCTTGTAACGTTTAACCCACATGACGAGAATGTAACATTTGCCATTAAGAGCTGTATAAAAAGTTGGGAGTGCTTACCAGGGCCAGGTCATCTCGACTGCAGTCCAAGGCAGCAATCATCACCTGTTCGTATATTATCCAGACTAGACATACACACACACACACAAATAAACCAGTCACATGAAATACAGGCACATGACTTTTCAAAGCAATTACTCAACTCATAAAATAAATTAGATAATGGCACTCATAGTTCTATAACGACTACTACTTATTGAAAAATGAACCTATCACAGTATTGCTTGAGATTATATATGTGGGAACTCTATACATATCAGAGTTCCATAACTGGTTTTGCTTTAGCACTGCATGGGCCCCCTTAGAAACAAATCTACACTGCAAAGCACGATTACTCCTTGTGATATCCAACAGATGATGGCAGTGGATCCAGCGCTCCCCTACTTTTCAAAAAGCAGGTGTGAGGTTTGGCAGGAAATCTAGTTCTTAAAAGAAGCTTTCTGCCAAAGCCAGGTGTGTTACATTTCTCCAATATTTACTTTAAGTAATCCTTTTCACCAAATCTTCAAACCACTACTGAAACTGAATTCCAAGGTTCTGCAGAAGCAGCATCTGAGAAGGGATTCAGGTAACTGAGAATTCGTCTCTTGATTGTGGCCTGTCTCATTTTCACCCACTCCTTCAGGAATACCAAACCCAGCCAATACTGCATTCCTCCTTCACCCTCGCTTATGCACCGAAGTTCACCCATTGACCAGTACTTGATACTGAAGTGTGCAGATCTCTGTGTTTCACACCAATTAGAATTCTTCTACGTAAAATCAAAGCTAAAAGGATCCGGGTGCCTGCAAAGGAGATCCACAAGTTCCACCTGCCTGACTACAACAAAAGTGGATCACGAACGCAGGTCACTCTTCTTTCATCATGCCTGTAAATGTATGAACTGGCTCTCGCTCTTTCGTTTACTTAGTTAAAATCATATTGACCTCTGCGGTTAACTGGAACAGCAGCTATAAAAGCCTAGGAAAACAAAAAAAAGAAGGATACGACAGCAGACGATGTAACTTAAGAAGATTTCATTCATGCTGCCCTCTAGTATAATGATGTCTCTGCTGACTGGTAATCAAGGTGGAGAAGCATTTAGGCTGTATTCAGATGTCACAACAAGCCAAGGTTAAACAGGGATATGTACAAAACCGAGCTTACTGCTGGGCTTACATTCATGCTTCGCTCCTCCCTTCTGGCACAGAGAATCCAGTTAGACACTAACTCCACTTACCCATGATGTATGGCTGCAGTCATCTTCATCTGGTCATCCCAGGCCCGAAGGATGTCTGGCTGGCCTCAACTACAGACAGGGCCTTTTCTGCCCTGGCCCCAGCCTGGTGGAACAAGCTCCCAATTGAGATCAGGGTCCTGTGGGATCTATTACAATTCAGCAAGGCCTGTAAAATGGAGCTGTTCCGCCAGGCTTTTAGTTGAGGCAGCGGGTGTCCAAATTTCCATTCCTGGCCTCCCCTGCTGGCAGCCCTAGCCTTATGGTCAGCGGCTTGGTATCCAGTAACACTACTCAGAAGGCTCCATCCAAGCACTGCTACCAAGGCAACTTTCACTCTCGTTTTCTGCTACTAAATTTTAACTTTCTGAATTTGTATATATTGCCTGAATTTGATATTGTTATTGTCACGATTTTTATGTGACCTTGTAACCTGCCCTGAGCCCGCTTGCGAGGAGGGCAGGATATAAATTAAAGGAAATAAATAAATACATGCTCTTTAGCCAGTCAGTTTTCCCTCTACAACCCATGATTCTAAAAAAGAACTCAATCCAGATTTAGAACACCAGTTTGTGAAAGGGATTCTTTACATGAGAGCGGAGGAGGAGGAAGGTGCACACATGGCTGATGACAAGCCAGGTTTATACCCATCTTCGTTTGTTATAAAATTTGAACACAGCATTAGAACTGAAGCTCTACTACAAACCTGCAAAGCAAATTACAGCAATAATCAGCAGGCTTCCCTTCCCTTTCTGAAGTTACTGTCCTGTCTACTATCCAGGGCAAGGAGAAAGCACTTTAAACTTTCATCCCCCAAACAATATTTTAACAAATAAGAAAATGACTGATGTATCAACATGCAAGTTCTATGTGTGCTGTTTTTTTCCCCCCTGTGGGGGGGAAAATATTTCCGTGCATATTATGGGATGTATCAGCGGCATCTTCTGGTAAATTCCCAAAGTGAAAGTCCTCTGGATGAGTACTGAAAGAACTGAACCCGCTTCAGAAATATTCTTCCGGCTTTCTATAAAACTTAAGTGTTACTGAGACCAAAACTTCCTAAAATTAAATAAAGAAGGGTACCCGCTCAGAACTTTGAGTTCACTGCCAGAAATGAACTCCTCATACTGTCTGAATTAGGTTAACTGAATTATAGAAAGGAAAGAAAGAGAAAGTGGAATGAGCCCATTAAAAACAAATCACTGATGCTTATTCCCTTCCTGCCTACATAACGGCCTTGCTCAGCCCAATACCCTTCTTTTGCCATTAAAAAACTGTGATGTTTTATCCTTTGCTTATATTAAAAAAAGAGGTACTGCACTATTGTGACTTTCTGTTTAAACTATCCCCTTCTGGAACAGAATGCCACGTGCCAAGTTTCTGTCTAGGGAGAATTAGTATTGTGCACTTATGACTCCCCTCAAACACAGGGATATTGTATATAATGAAAATCCAGGCACGCCCTAGACTCATGCACAACACTATAATAAAAGCCACCCTTATATCGATTTCCACGTAGCTGAAGTTATGGTTTCATTTCAGGAATAACATTTTTTTTTCTTGGTTTAAAACCTCGAGCTATCCCTCAGAAGAGTGAAGACAACCTCTGAGTGAAATGCATCCAAGGGCGTTTGGCCAAAGGTTTTCTCAAAAGTATTCGCATGACGAGTGGAGCCAGGGCTATACATCCTATTAGGCATACATCTTTCTGCCCACACCCTTCCATTGGAAGATCAAGAGTCAAAGAACACTGGCAGATGTTGAGCTTACAAAAATAATGTGCGGACCATACCACCAGAAAAAAATGGAGTAAAAGTAAAATAATATGGAGGAGTGTAATAAGGGAATTAATGGGGTAATAAACAAAACCAGCTGGACAGAATAAAAAAAAAGGAAAGGAAAGCTACAGACATGAAAGAATTCGACCTACTGTCATCACCCAGCTTGGATGCATATTCATGAATTAACTCTTCTCCAACTTCCACTATCTGCTCACTGTTCCGGCAGTTCTCTTCCCTCCATTTCCTCATTTTGTCTCGCATCTCTGAAAGACAAACAATAAAATACCTAAGGAACATTCCTAGAATGGGTTAATACATCTGTATCTCCTTCATAGCCGAGATTTACCTTAACTGTAACAGTTTTCCAATGTCAAGACTGAAACTCTGAAATCATATTTGACATGGTGGTCAGGAAACTAAACAGAAATGGTTGTGTTTGGGAATTTTTCAGGATACTGGGCTAATGAATCCATTGCCTGGTGTGACTTCAACGAGTGCCCGATGCCTGTCAACTGGAACTCCCAAAGCATCTACTGTTAACCTTCCAATGTGATAAAGTGTGTTTGGAACATCAAAAAAACTTTTAGAAACTACTGATCTTACTATTAACATGCTAAGAACTGTGGCACTGACTTCAGGAAACAAGTATGTAGCAACAGCCTCCAGATGGGACCTGGGGACCCCTGGAATTATAGTTCATCTCAAGACTCCAGGAATCAATTTCCCCTGCAGAAAATGGATGCTTTAGCGGATGGACTCTATGGTCACTGCCCTCCCCAGGCTCTATCCCCAAATCTCCAGGAGTTTCCAGCCCTGAATGTGGCAACACTACCTCCAACCCCTATTGGTGGCCAGGGGAAACCTGTCAACCCTAGTCATATTCTCTCAAACAGTGGATCTTCACCCTCTACTCCAGGGATGGTCAGACTCGCTTAACATAAGAGCCACATAGAAGAAACATCAAATGTCTGAGAGCCACAAGACATGCAGCAGCACAGAAATCCTTTTTTCTTTTTTTTGCACTGGGAATGATGCTGCTTTCCTCCTCTCCAATCCCCCTTTCTAGTCAACACCAGCAAGGAACTAATCTTCGTGCAAGTCCTTTTAAACTCCCCCCCCCCCAATTGTTTTAATTTTTTTAAATTCAGCGATCGGAGACTAGTAAAACTCATGCCACTTGTCGAAAAATATTAAACATTTAAAGATGAGGGGGAAATGGAGCTTGTACACCGATGAAGTGGGGAGGATGGCGGAAGGTGCAGAGTGGGCAGAACAACCTCAATGTGGACGGCAAAAGGGGGGAATCTGAGGAAATCTGTATGCTTTTGAATTACCTTCAGCTTGGAAGTGAAACAAGAGAAAAATCAGCACAAAAGCACTCTCAGAAAACCCGGAGAAACAGCAACCAGAAAAGGACCTGAGCGCTGAAGGGAGGAAAATCAATGCAGAACAACAAAGAAAATCCAACAGACATGCACAGTGAAGACGAGGGAAAACACCTGCGCATAATAGGCCTAAGTTTAGAACTGGGGGCGGACACAATGAAATGCAAAGTCCAGCTTTTACAGTTTCAACTCCCTTCTGCTATATTAAGCATTTGCTCCAGTGACCTTTGCTAGAATGTTTGTGTGTGATTATTATCCATTCACCTCTGCGTCATGGCAAATCTGGTTGCATTTTACAACAGCTTTTAAAAGAACTTCTTAATTTAGACATGGAACTAAATATCTTTCAAGTCCTGGAAACAAACTAGGAGTACTGTTCCATCCTAAAAATGGCTATATAGAAGTACTGGTTCATTATATCAGCTGCGACAGTTTGAAAGAGAACGCATTTTCATTTTTCTCAACAACCTCACGTGGAAATTCTCAGATTCTTTTCAGTGGTCCCATAAACTGACATTTTTCAATAATCCTCTGCCCCCTTGACTTCTATTTCCATCAGAGCAACACCAGTGTTATGCCAATGTTGTCTCCATTATTCTTTCAACAAAATATAAATCATAAAAGGCGGGAGGATGAAAAATTCTGTATTACTGCTGAAATATTACAACATTTACACACATACTTTATAGAACTCTTTATAGGACGGCTGTTCTAAATATCTCAGCAAGTCACTTTGCTTCATGAACATTACATCATCTTCTGTTATGAGAAAAAGGCCACAAGTATAATTTTGAATATTTAATACTATTTTTATCCCATTTTCAAAACCTCCCAATTTCCAACTAATAAGAGTCTCAGAGCAAAGAAATTCTAATAACACATAAAACCAAATTGCAACAACATGAAATACACCACTATCTGATCAGTTTTCCCTAAGTTGAAAAGTGCCTTCCTTGAAAGATATCCAACCGGTTCTTAACATCACCATGTGCACTACAGACTGGAGAATTCTTTTGTTTTCAGACTAGCAACTGTAAATGAAGGAAGCATCAAGAAAAAGCAAACCTAAGATTTCTTTTTAAAAAATAAGGCTTTGGTTCTGTTTATTATAAGCATGTTAAATGCAAGATGACGCACTGAGTTATTTTTAAGGTCTTTATTTAAACACACTGTTCTGAATTTGCTTGTCTTTTTGTCACTTCAATACGTACCAGTTAACAAAACTGACAGCTTTAGATTAAACAACTTTCTATCCTCCTCTCCCACATATGCTTCTATCCACAAAGAATGAACACAGATCCCTGGGGGGGGGGGGGCCACTGTTACTGTGCTTCATTTTATATTTTGAAAGTCAACCAAAACCACCACAGTGTTACATTTCATGTGCATGAGTAAATCTAAATGGTTCCTGACGCAAGACGACCCCTGGAAATTAAAAATTGGACAGAAAGAATGTGAGCGAATAAAAATGTACTGCAGAGACTGACAGTTTAAACATCCGTGCACACACACAATAATAAAATTTTACTCCATTAATTTACATGGCCATTAATAAGAATCCCATGTCAGTAAAACTTTCAAAGGTAATAATGATTTAATATCAAAGTGTGGTGGTGGAAAGTGCCGTCAAGTCGCAGCTGACTTATGGCGACCCTGTAGAAGAAGAAGAGATTGGATTTATACCCCACCCTTCACTACCCAAAGGTGTCTCAGAGCGGCTGACAAACTCCTTTCCCTTCCCCTCCCCACAACAGACACCCCGTGAGGTAGGTGGGGCTGAGAGAGCTCTCGACAGAAACTGCTCTTTTTCAAAAACAGCTCTTATCAGAACTATGGCTTGCCCAAGGCCATCCAGCCAGGTGCAAGTGGAGGAGTGGGGAATCAAACCTGGTTCACCCAGTTTAGAGTCCGCGCACTTAACCACGACACCAAACTGGCTCTGTAGTGCTTTCAAGGCAAGCAACTAAGAGAGGTGGTTTGTCACTGTCTACCTCTGTGTAGCAACTCTGGCCTTCCTTGGTGGTCTCCCATCCAAATACCAACCAGGGCTGACCCTGCTTAGCTTCCCAGATCTGACAAGATCAAGCTAGCTTGTGCCATCCAGATCAGTGCCAATATCAAAGTACAGTGATGGAAATACATGAAAAGACAGATCATGTTTGGTCACATGACCATTCAAAACAACAATATGGCAGTGCGATCGTAAGAATACTTTTCTGGAATTAAGCACCACTGACTATACCCAAGTAGCACTTCCAAGTAGCCTTGCTTAGGATAGCAGTATGGCTGCATTAAATGGCTGTCAGTCCAAGTCTACGCCCATTTACTCAGATTTCTTTTTTCCAAAAGCCTAAAAGGCATCTCCCTCACCAGGTGCAGGGCTATGGAATCCACCAATCACATACAAGTTCCTTGGCAACATCACATTACAGCTTCCAATTTACAGACTTCAGTGATCATCCTAAAGACACCACTAAAACCCTCTATCAAGTACTTAAAACCAAGGCTCAAAGTCATTGCCTCGGACTACTTCTGCCTGATGTTTGCCCAGAGGAAATAAGCAGCCTTTTTGGTCTAAAAATAAATGAAGTGGCTATCTGTGAAGTGGTCGATAAGATGGAAAATCAAGGGGGGGGGGACAGGTTAGATGAGGGTTGCATTGGACCAACCAGATTGCAGAGGTTGTATATAGGGTTGTTTTTCTATGACAAATCTTAGGGAGAAGAGTAAGACCATTTTAGAAAGATTAGTGTGAAGCACCAGTGGGGGTTTTTTTCAGATGCACATACTCTGAAATGTAAGTGCAGTGGATCAAAATTTTACATGTGTACTGTCTGGTCCAAATAAGGCACAAAGGCTTCAAGGGGAGAGGTTATATTCAAACTTTCATTCTCAGTACTGCCATATTTAAAATTCTAAACTGCTGCTGCTCTACAGGCGCAGACCTTTCAGGATCCTGCTGGCTTACAGCATGCCCTTTCACCACCAAACTGTGACCTGAGCCTATTCCAGCTCAACTACACCCCTCCTTTTGAAGTGAAATAAGGGAACTGCTGTGCTCAGCAAAATACAGTCGTGCACATGCCATTGTTTGGCAGGGGCTACTTGCCGCTGAAACAGTGGCTCTCATTACTTCTATTAAAACTGTTTTAGAACTTTTTAACTGTTTTTAAAACTTTCTGAATTGCACCAAGGTTACGTTTTAGCTGCTTGAGACAGACTATCAGGAGCTTCTATGTGTGCAGTTCCTTGACATTAAGTTCCTCTGAAATCAATAGTACTTCTGAGAGCCAGTGTGGCGTAGAGGTTAAGAGCAGCATACTCTAATCTGGAGAACCGGGTTTGACTCCCTACTCCTCCTCCACAAGGAGCCTGCTGGGTGACCTTGGGTCAGTCACAGTTTTCTCAGGACTCACTCAGCCTCACCTGCCTCACAAGGTGCCTGTTTCGGGGAGAAGCAATTGTAAGCCACTTACAACTCTTCTGCTTCTGCAGAAGTGTGATTTGCATATGCCTCTGTCATCTTCATGGATGTTAGGAATACACAGAATCACTGGAAAGAAAGAGAGTATTGCCATCGTGGGTCAGTCTGCTCAAATGAAACAGGACCCATCGGCTTCAACTAGCCCACACAACAAGAAAGGGCCTCACGACAGAAAATAGTTTATTAAGTCATCTAATAGTTAAGGCACAAGTTCAATATAAAGCAATTCCAACTGGGATTAAATAAGAGTGAATCACCTGTAGGTCCGGATGAAAGCACAAATGAACTGGTACCATGTATATGGCACGGCACTCGAAAACAGTCACTTAACTCCACTGACTGTGCATGGAAAGACATGCTAGTAAGTACACCTCTCCAAACAGGAAACTGAACC